CCTGCCCTGCTTGGCTCAGGGGAGGACGGTGAACCTACTGCCTGTGGTGGGGGGAGCTCATCTGCTGCTGCTGCTGCGGAGTTCAGCATCTCCAGTCATTGGTTCCTGTTTGCTGCACTGTGGTCTTCTGCCCCCCTGTGCCTTGCCGGAGATCCCTGGGATTCCAGCTGCAGTGCTCGAGTTCTGCTGCATCCCATCTGCAACTGCAGGAATCTGCTCGTCTTTTTGCCCGGGGAGCACCAGGATCAACGCTTTCCGCTGTGAGTTTGCAGAATAACTTTTTCTCCGTCCGTCTCTGCTGGTTTGTGTCCGCCATTGGCCACTGGGAGATCTGAGCCAGCCGGGACCCGCGCCACAGCGCCCCCTGCAGCCGCCGGGGAATCATCGCACCCGCCCTGCCCGGCCGGGAGCCAACAGCGCCCCTGCCGACCGGGACTGTAACTGCACCAAAGGGGAGGCTGTGTCTCTGTGTGAGGCTGTCACTGGGTTTGTGGCTGGGCTGGTTGTTGCTATCGTGGTTGTTACTTGTTTCACCTTGTTATACATATTAGTAAAAACTGTTATTCCTTTTTATCCATATTCTTGCCTGAAAGCCCATGATTTTTGAAGCTGTAATAATTTGGAGGGAAGGGGGGGAGTCATATCCACCACTCCAAGGAGGGTCCCTGCCTTCATTGGCAAACGCCTGTCTTTCAAACCAAGACATATATTTAGCTACTTACTAACTGAAAAATAATTTATTTTTGTTTTAAAGTTTTGTGGCTTCACAAGGGGAAATACAAATTCTGATTTATGTATGGAATCCATAATTAATACCGCATAAAATCTGTCACTGAAATATGTCCCTTCCTTACAGTTTTGGAGAATTCTATAGATCCTGTTCTATGATTAGTGACATTGTTTTCTCCAGAGATGTTTCTTCAGTGCTCTACTGTTCCAGAAGAGAACTAGAGAACTAGACTTAGAACCTTTAACTGGGAGTCAATGGAGATATTTGAGCTTAAGTTTTGAGGAATGGCTTTTTAACAGTTACTGGTCTTGATCTTTGAGTCAGGCATTCCAGCTTGTCCTTAGCTATGCTAGCAAATCAAGGAGGATTTTAAAAAAAAAATCTTAAAATCTTGACTGTTTTGTCGAAGATAACTTACAAAATGTTTGTTAAGTTTTAAAGAGCTATACTATACCATGAATAGTCTGTGAGACAGCAGCAGTTTCCAAGGAGCGCAAGACCAAGAATTGTAAACGAGTGATTCAAGAATAATTCACCATTTCAATTGAATAAATGTTAAATTAATTTATCAACTCCTGATATAAGCCATCCAAATAATGGAATTTTTTCTGAATATTGTGCCTTCTTTATTAGTGAAGATACAACCATTGAGAAGAACAGTGAGGTCTGCCACTGGATGTGTCAGGAATTGACATACACACTAAGTTAGTATGTGTGTGAATCTCAGTCATGGAGAGAGTTAATCCTTGGTATACTATCAGTTTACAGAGCAAATGAGGGTTCTAAATAATGAAATTATAGATCTAGCCTGAAAGAGAATGTTTACTTGGAAATTTCTTCATGGTACTCTGCTCCCTGTTTGTGCCATCATGGGATTTGTGTGCAATGGAGACTGACTGTTCTTAGCTCAGTGTTATGTGTTCTTAGCTCTGTGTTATGATCTTCCTGAATTCCTGAAAAGCCAGTAAGACCAGGAAAGATAACAAGAAAAGCCGTCTGGAGTTTTCAGCTCCTGTTTGCTGTAAATAAACAAGATGAGTTCTTTGAAAATAAGACAGCCTCCTAAATAGAGAAAAGTGTTTAGTCCCCAGTTTGAGACAAACAGAGAATGACCTGAAAACATAATAGAAGTCTTGGCTTGAAAACAAGAGAATCATTGTAAAATTCATATGTGCATGTTTATCTGAAACTAGACCAGTACATTACTTGGTTTAGAAATGAACTATATTGTGCACTTCATTTTCTGTAAACACACATCCAGATCATGACCCATGTTGTATTTCTCCAACGAGAAAACCAATGAAGAATAACAGAATATTCTTTTTGGATTTCTGATGCGAAGTAAAGGAAAATTGTCCAATGCAGAAGGACATTCCAGGAAGTTAAATGCTGCATGAAATCCCAGAAGACAGTGGGGCTGTTAGTTAATTGTCTGAAAATGAAGATTGGTTTAGCCAGTTTTAGTTTGTTCTGTGTTAGTAGTCAGTGATGATTTATGTAGCTGTCCTTCCTTCTCTTGTGAACTCTTTCCCATAATATCATAGTTGTGTGTTGTTAACATAAGGACTCATCTAATCTGTAGCTTAATTTAAAAAAGCTTATTAAAAGCCACCCGGAAATATTCACAAGAGATGTGAAGGGAAAAGAAACTGAAAACTAAGGACAGGAGTAGATGAAATAGAGCAACAGTGTGCATCAGGGAGTTGCTACAGATTTACTAATAAAAGAACAAAATTAAGGAATATTGGCAAGTAAAATGAGGAATGGCATAGTAAGGATTCGGAAGTATGGGATTTATTTAGTGGCATGCAGTTACCTGCGTAAAGACAAAATAATTAGTTATGAGATTGTATTACTAATTTTGAGGAATAATACGGTGCTTGAGGGAAAAACCTCAATTCTCAAAATGGCCACTTCCAGAAGGTTTCAAAGCTATATAGCAGATTTAAACTGTAAAGAATTTTTGAAGCACTCTTAAAAATTTGGGGTCTGTTGAGCAAGCTTGGAAGAGATTACATGTGCCATAATTCAGCCTCAGATTTCAATGGTGACCAGAGAGTGAAAAATGGAGAAAAGGTTGAGTAGAATAAGCCTGAAGTTCACCTCAAATATGCTATTCTGGAATTTCCTAGGCTTCATAAAGTAAGTTTATTGGCAATTTATGAGAAAATAAAGAAGAAAAAAAGTGGAATATGCAGGAGGAAATCAAAATGAAAAATTATTGGAGGACATGATAAGATGCCAGCTTTTGCATTGTAAGGAAGAGCTAGGCATGCACTAAATGGAAGTCAAGAAAACAATGCAGTGACCAGTTGGTATGTACAAGAGCAAAAACCACCTTAACAAGGCCAGCTAACAGGGACAGTAAAACCTATGAAGAGGTGATATGCAGCACCTTGTGTGATAAAGAGTATTTTGAGAGTACCTTTCAAGACCTCCTGGTTGCTTTTGTTCTCTTCTGACTTGGGACATGCAGGGTCTTCAGAGAGCTTGCTGGACCAGGCCCTCCCTTACTACCAAGGCAGGAACAGGGAAGAAATCTCTCAGCAGAACCCTGGTGGCACAGTCCCAGGCTTTGTGTAAAAGTGGTGGAGATCCACTGTGTGCCCTAGGAGATGGTTTTGACATCAGTTTTTGAATGGGACCATGTGGATGCCATTGTGCTCATCTGGTAACCAGAGTGGCCCACTCGTTCCCCACCACTTCCCTTAAGAGCTGAAGGCTGCTGACTGGATCACTTTTAAGCTAGGAACAGCTGAAACAGGTTGATATCAAACCTAATGTGAAAGGTTTTGTTAAAAGAAAAAAAATTATGGGAAGAAAGTATGTAATTGCTCATTCACATAGTAGAAAATAATTTCTGCTTTGTGGATAAGTGAATTGGATGTGGAGTTAAAACCTGATCTTGAAAAGATGACAAAGTAAACAACCTTTTTTTTTTTTTCTTTTCTTTTTTTTTTTTTTTTCTTTTTTTTTTTTTTTTTTTTTTTTTTTTTTTATTAAAAGGTATTTATTCCCGACTTCAGGAAAAATATAGAAAATGTATAGCAAATTCCAGTAAAGAAGAAAGATCATTTTCTTTTGGGTAATTCATTCTTAGGTGGAAGGCAGAAGAGACATTCTCTAAAGATGAAGATGAATTGTTTTTTCTTAAAGATCTGAGAAGAATTGTCCTTTTCCTTTTTTTTTCATTGATTTTCTTTTTTGATGTTTCCAACAAGCAGGTATGTTTAGAATAAAAATTTTAATAAAATCAGAACTGGTAAATTTTTAAAAACTGCTGAAGACATTCCCAACCCTTAAAATAATGCATCGGTACTGATTTATTTTACAAAATGCTTCAATATCATCTAATGCAAAACTTTAGAAAAATGCCTGGCATTGCTCTTTCAACATGAAGGTTCAAGAAGAGCGAAGGATATCTACTATTTTCCTTAACTGGTGTTTGATTTTCTGTTCCCTAAAGAAAACTTTCACAAAAAGAGTCAGCAACAGTTATTCACTAACTGGTTTAAATAAAAAAAAGGAAAAAAGAAAGAAAAGAAGACAGATATATTTGGAAGCAGTCCATTGTTCTCATATGTTGCAGTATCAGATGCCAATCTGTCTTGAGAGTATATGACTCAGGTCTTTATAGCCTCATAAATCTTCTTTGGGAAATATGGGCTAAATATGAGCAGCTAATGAAATTTGTCTATGTCCCTTGTTATGATAGAAATGTTAGAATCAGCCACAGGCACAGCTGTCACTTGTTGATTATTGTGAGATGATAAGTGGACATGTTCCCCCAACCTTGGTGCAAGCTTGACAGGTTTATTGAAACATGACAGGAGTGAATATATGAGTATGTGAGGCATTGAGATCGGACCGGCTGATCATAGAGGCAAAATCCATTAAATACTTGGAAATGTCAGTTTGGTTCTCTAGCTTGAGAGGCAATTTATGAGTCAGAGCTGCTGTCAGTTTATGTAAATTGACCTCTCCAGGGATATCTGAAGTATCAAGGGCAGAATTGTTTAAGATATAAATTCAGAAGAGGATTCTGGTAGCGCCACTGTTAGCAAACTTGCCCACTTGTAGGAATCTGTATGAGTGTAACTATTCATGTTGTTCTCTACTAATTATTTTGTACCATGTATCCAGCATCCTCTGTTATTGGTAAGTTAAATATAAGGTTAGACATGTTATTTTTGTCTAACTTTGGAAATTTAGGAAAAAAAGAATTGACCTCCTTTCAGATTACTGTATTATCTCTTGTATTGCAGTGAGAAGGTGAATTTGAGCCCTTTCAGCACTCAGGAGGAGGCCTTGTTTCCAGGAAATTTAATTGCCATGAAAAGACTTTTGAAAAAAACAGCAGTGAGATCCAGTGCAACACTGCGTTCTGAATGCCTCAGAGGTTTGCTTTTTTTTCTTTACATGCCACAGTACAGCCATGATTGATTTGACAGCCTGTTATTTGCCCAGATGTTAACAGTATAAAGCATATTTTACTCAGTCCTTCTGCCTAGAGCAGGACAATAACTGCTACAATTTTTGCTAGCAGACATCAAAAGCCCGTCTCTGTTTAGACATGTTTTTCAAAGAAAAAATATCACAGGGTCATTAAAACTTCACACTTAATAAGGGAACTTACCTCTGGCATTTCTGTAGACTTGTAAGGAGAAACAGCACTGTGTGTCAGTGCATAATTTGTGAAGCACTCCATTTTCATACTCTGTCAAGTGTGAAAGTAGCTGTGGATTCAAAAAGGCCAGTTGTTAATAAGCAAAAAAGACGAAAAATGTAGGGAAAGCCATTAGCAGAGCTGGGTGGTGCATGTGCTCACAGAGAAGAATCTCATAACAAGCCAGAATGAGAATGAAAAAGATTAGATAAATTATGAATCAGAGAAGTAACAAGTAAACCATTTTAGAATTATAGTCTGGTATTAGGATTAAAAAATCTTCTGAAGTTCCCGAGATTATGTAGTCATACATTAATTGATACTCAAGCAGAAGTTTAAAGAATGAGGCCTGTTAATACAGGGCAGGATCCTTATCTGGCTTCTCTTTATCCAATTCATTTTTACTTGTGGAAGAGAGAAATTGTTTTAAGCCAGCCAGTAATTGGGTCAGCTGATAAAAGATCTTGCTGGTGTCTTAGTGTATGACTAGTTTTCACGCTCTGTGTGTTCTTCCTTTGTGCTGAGTGTGCATTTTTTCTCACTTTGCAATTCTAACAGCTTCTTTATCTCCCCTTCAGTTCACCAGCCTTGTGCAAAAAAATGCTTGTAAGTGATCATGTCATTTTCCCTTACGTAATGTACCTATCCTGTCTGCTTAGTCTGAATTTTGAACTGTGGGGTACCAATTATTTTTAATTCTCAGTACAGTGGCTGATACAGCTGGACCATCCCTGCTTCTGAGTGATCTTGTAATATACACTTTCCATGAAGGATGTGGTAAGGTAGACAGTGGAATAATTTAATTTTGCAACAAGAATAATTTTAACCTCCTACATCCTACTTGCATATAGTTTTGAACTGGCTTGCTCAAAGAGGTGCAAGAGATCTGGAACAGTGAACAGAAGCTCTCTGTAAACTTGACCATGATTTGGAAACCAGGGATATTCTTGCAGTGAAATGAAATTGAGGGAATTTGCAAAAGTTATACAGCAGATAGAAATGCAATTCTTGGAAAATACTAGAAATCCAGAATAAATGTGTCTTAGTTAAGTGTCTCATATTTGGCAGTTTTATCTCACTCCCAACTTTCTTAAAAGTTACAGTGCAAGTTATAGAATAAAAAATGTTAGCTATCCAAAACTGCTCAAAGTAAAGCAGTGGTGAGAATTATTTGTGACACTGCAAATTAGAGAAATTTCTTTCAGAAACATGAATGCTAAATAGATAGCATTAATTTATTATTAATGCACTGAGTTCTACGCAAATGGAATAGTCAATAAATGAAATTAATATTTTGCCTGTAAGTAGAGTGAAAGACTGATTGTCGTTTGTGCAATCATAGATTCTCTTTGGGATTTACTGTTCCTCACAGAAAACTACTCTTTCCTGTCCTCCTGTATTTGCACAGCCTGTGAGCACCTTGTAATTACCCTTCACAGCTGGTTCTGGGAAACTCAGAATCTTTTCCCTATGCAAATAAAATGGATATTTCTGTGCTTTGTGCCAGGACTGTAAATTGTTGCTACTGACTCCCTACAAGTTTTGCATGAAATCAGAATATTGCTCTCTGTCGTAATGGAGAAACTTCAGGTTTTGGTCTGAATATGTGGAGACAATTTGGCTGCATGTATTAACTGTTGTTAATTCCCTTTTTTTTTCTTATGGTTGCCATTGAACAGACTGTTCCAGTCAAATCTCCTTGGTATATCTGGTCTAATTAATGTTTAACTTTTTATAAATTTCTGGTTTTAGAGGATAATTAAAAACATCTTAAATCAAGAATATACTATTTTTTAGAAAAATCATTAAACAGAGAATGAGTCATCTATATAAATCTGATTCTGAAAATTAACATGAAAAGAAAAACTGTGAAAAGCTTGCAAGAGATTTTTCCTCTCAGAACCCTGTTGCTATTTAGTGAACATTTTGTTTTCTGGGTAAAAATAATAATCTGTAACTATTCTACAGTTTCTATGTTTTTGTGATTTGTCACTCTAACACAGCTGTAGTTTTGTCAGCCCTATATAAAATAGTATATTTTTAAAGTTTTATTTTGGACTACTGTCCTCTCCTCTGCCAAAGAGAGCATTTTTTCATAGTAATATAATCTACAATCTCTCAAGACTCTCCTTAAAGCTTTACTGGTCTTTACATCATGCCCTGGTGTGCGGAGAGGGAGGATTGGGTAGGGTGCATGTAACTAAAAGCACTCACTGAATATGTTAAAACAAATGTGTACTTTACCATATTTAGAAACGAAATCCTTGGCGAACTCAGATGTTGTGTAGATAATATTATTTATCCACCATATGCTGTGGAGGCAAAGATTTTAGTTGGTGGCACTGGCCATAAATTTTTACATTTTATTTCTAAACTTCATGCACTTAGAAGAAAAGGATAATCTGCTTGTGGAAATTTCTTGTTAACAATATCAAAAGAAGCTATCTAAAAACTTGCTTGGATGACAGGAGGAAAAAAAAGAAACAGAAATGGGCAAATCTGCAAAATATGGTTTCCTTCAGAGATAAAATTTGCTGAATACATGCCAACAAACATGTTTTCTTTTCCACCATTTTATTTATAAATATATTAACCCATAGGGAAATAATGGTCTTGTGAAAATAATGGTCCTTGTGAAAAAGACCCCTAAAATGGAGTTTAAATCAAGTGCATGTGTTTTACAAGCAAGTCAGAAATACACCCAGCTGCACAATTATTCACTTTGATATGGTTTATAGAAATTTGAACCAGAAGTCTTGATCAAGCAGCTCTGAACTTTGAAACATCTGAAATGAGGTCCAAATTCTGAGACTGGATAATCTGTCAGTAATTTAATTTCTGTTAAGAAACTTTCCTCTACAAAACTTGCAAGCAATTCTTAAAGCTCTGCATGCTTTAGAAGGCAGCAAGATGCAGTAGGAATAGGTCAGTTGGTACTCAGGACCTGGCATCTACCTTAACACGTGTTTCAGGGATGGTCTATTCAGCTCTAGTTTGATTCTATGCAAGTGGTTGGTGTGCATTAGCAATGCTCCCAGAGAACAACTTCTAGTCGAGTTTCATCCTAAAGGAAACCACTTTGTGCACTCTGAAGCTGTTGCCTGATGTGAACCAAAATGCAGTCAGTGAGACTGGGGAGGGGAGTTTGCTTTCAATAGCCCACTTCTGATCTGAACTAAAGTGCTAGTCTAATTTCTTAGCTGATGAAATGTAGTTGAGAAAATGAAACAAGCTATTTAGGTGAATGAAACAACACAGTTTTTTTAACTACTTTAGAGTTAGTTTTTAGATTTCAGATTGTTGGCAACACTGCATTTCTTAAAAGAACTAAAGCATTTGTCTTGGAAGAATTTATACGGAAGTACCATATAAATGAATCTATATATTTTCAGAAGCAATTCTTGTCTTCCTCATTTGGAATATTAGTTTCATGTAAGTTTTTAACATCTCCCAGAACATCTCCCTGCTGTTTATGAAGCGGTAGCATAGCTGCAGAGAGCTTTTCACACCTGATGATCAGCATCTGAAGAGCTGAGATAAAAGCATATAAGGTCACACTTTTTACCTATCTCTCCATCTAAAATAAATGCCATGCCTACCTTTGGCAATATACGTAAGAGTCTAGAAACAGCTTAGAGGCACAGCAGAATTAAGCTACTATCATGATTGACTGATTACACTGATCTGAAGCCAGAAGATAAAGTGGGTAGATCTTTAACTGGACATCTTATATGCCAGGAACCAATGACATCCTGCTGAGATAAAGAATTTGGCCCTGAGGATGCCACAGCAAAAACTGGTATATCTTCCTCTCACATTTAAAACTGAGTTCAGTTTTCCCAGACTAAAGTGACTATGGGATGAGATTTTCTATTTTTCTCCTCTGTCGGGATCAGGGATTTCAGAATCGCCATTAACTGAAAATCATGGTTTCCTTGATGTTATATTGGTGTACAGGTTTTCACGTAGGTCAGTACCTGCAATTAGATAGGCTTATCTTCTCATTCTATCAGTCACATCCAACTTCAAACCTCCCAAAATAGCACTACATGATGATGCAATATCACTCAACTTACCCCAAAGTTTTAGCATCAGGTCATGTCTTATGTCTTCCTTGTAACCTAGCAGTTCTTGCATCTGCATTTCCAAGAGTTTCTCCACATTTACAATGGTATGTTTGATGTGTTAAAGGGAGCAGTTTTAGGTCTTTAACTTTGAAAACACAATATTTCATTCCATTTTAAAAAGCTCAGATAGTATATTCAAATGCCTAATTTAAAAATTGTCTTTCATTCTTGCCAGGACTTTGATAAATCCAAAGCGTACTGGTCTGTCAGAATGAAATCCAAACCTCTCTTACTGTCAAGTCACTTGACACTTAGACTTTCTCATTTTCCATACCAGATGAAAAGAAACAGAGAATATTTATCATATGTAGTAGTTTTATTTTTACCTTTAATTACTCCACAAAGACATGAACATTAAACATTTGTAAACACCAATGACATTTTAAGTTTGTAAAAATAGACAATATGCACACTCTCATTTGCAAAAGAATTTTCACTCTTATGGGCTTTATCAATGGAAAAATATTAATACTACACATGACCTCCATGATATCTGAGAAGCAGAATTATGTTTTGTACCCAAAAATAATTCAGGAACTAACCTTGAAAAGGGTGCAACACTTCTTTTAATCTCTGCTTTTGATATAGAAATGGAAGTAATAAATGCAGTGACACACACATTTTAAAAACTTTTGAATTCTGAAATAGTATTTTAAGACATTTTGAAAGGTCTTTGATTATGTGGACCTTGTATTTCAATCTTTGGGACTTGTGAATTTTTAAAATAAATTTAAAGTATCTATAATTTCTTATTTTGATTCCATGTTCTGCTTGTATTATAGGCTTCTTTCATTATAGAATGGGAAAAGTATATAAGATTGTTTGTCACTGGGTTGTTATTTTTTTCCTAGTCTTGGGACTTGACACAAAAATTTGCGCATTTTCTACTTTAAAGTGGGTTCAAAATGCCCCAAGAATTTATGACTTGTTTTGATATTTTCTGAAAATGCTAAGTTCAGTTTGCCCATTAGGTGTGTTTATGTAGTGGGCACCTACCTGAAAGCAATGTACCCCTTGACAAGTTTATAAATTGATTATGAAACCACATTCTTTCAGCTTTTTGGTTTTTATTCCTTAGGTCTTCACCAGGCTTTTTTAAAAAAGACCTTGCTTTTGCATAGTTTAATTAATTTATTTTTGAAGCTGTCCAATCTTTAATTTACCAGCAATAATCGAGATAAAAAAAAGTCTAGTATCATTTTCTGCAGAAAGGTTTTAAAATTTGCTTTCATTCTCAATTTGCAATGAATTCCTATAAGAGTGTGAGGTTCTTTTTCCAAAAACAATTCATGTGAGTGCATGCCTCAAACCATTTTCTGCAAAGTGATGTGAAAGTTGATGTCATTGCAAATTGTTACGACAACATAGAACTTTTGTTTTGCTTCATACTAACCAGTCTTTATTAAACTAGCCATTTTATTGTGTGACTTGACATTTATTCTTTATCACAGTTGCTGCATCAGAAAATTAAGGCAATATAACCCCAAATTCAGAGCAAAGTAAGCAAAACATGTTTGGGGTGTACATTAATGCTAGTTGAATAATAGCAGACATGAACAACTGCTTGGTTTGTACTATAATGTAAAATAGCTGCTTTTCTAATGATCTGTCAAGTTTCTACATTTGTAGCGGCCCAGCCTGTAAGACTTTGATGGTGTTGGTAATTGCACAGATACTTAATTTATGTTAAAAATAATGTCTTGGTTACAGCAATTATGTATATGCTGTTGCATTCACGTAATACCTCACCTGTTTCACTTTTTGTATTCCAGGAGAGCTGTTTTAGTTTATACTTTCTTGAGTTGTATTGACAGTTTCAAAAACAATATTTTAACAGAATTTTGCTGGTATAATATGCTATTGCTGAATAATAGGGACTTCCACCTCTCTCAGAATCCCACAAGGAAAAGTTTAAAAGCTGCTACTTTGGATTTAGGCAGAAGTCCTGGCACTTGTACTGCAATTCTAAGCTGGTAAAGCCTTTTTGTGTGCATGCAAATATTTGTGTGTTAACCTAAGACTAGCATTTTGGGTAAACCGTAACTGTTTCATATCCCTCTGGTGGCCTCATGCGAGCACGTGCATGAGCTTCACAGTACAGCTGGCCCTCCACAAAGAAGTAGCCTTTTTGTTTCAGGTTGAGATCGCAGTCAGAGCACACAAAGCATTCTGGATGCCGGTATTTATCGCGTGCCTTCACCACTGTCCCTCTACATGGAAGCAATGAAAAGAAATAAAGCTAATTAGTCGTATGAATTTAAAATGAGAAAAGAAATGCAACTAGACCTGGTCTAGTAAAAGGTTCTAATAGAAGTCACTGATCATGGCAGGAGATTGGAACTAGATGATCTGTAAGGTCCCTTCCAGCTCAAACCATTCTATGATTCTATGACACAAAGTATGTGCTAGGTATTTTAAGTATCATTCATCTTGTGATTTTAGAATCTACTATGCAATTTGAGGTTGCAAGCTGAGTTTGAGTAGGTGACAAATTGCTGTAGAGTTGATCACATAGTTTATGAGCATTGGAAAATGAAGAGTTTGAAGAAACATGTTAGTTTGCTTACAAGACAGTAAATACAGCCTATACAGCCTAACCTATCAAAAGAGTGACAAAATGAGTTTCAAAACCATTTTGTTTTCTTTTCATGTCTGTGTTCTCTCAGTTCATTATCTGTGTTCTTTGCTGAAGTTAGTGATGTCAGTCAGGTAGAAATCTGATAGTTTAAAAATATATCTACAGAGTTTTCTGGATAATCCCACTGGATTGGTAGAAGAGTTCTTTGCATTAAAAAGAAATTTTTGAGGATTCACAACCTGAGACAGCACAGCACAGATAACTGCTGGTTTCATTACGTATGTGTTAATGGTTGACTTTGCAAAAGGTCCTGAGTAATCTCAGTTAAAGCCTCAATAGAACTTTGTCAAAATTTATGTAATCTGTATTGAAATTGTTGAAGGTACAGGTTCATAATTTGAGAATTAGAACAAAGTATTTTTATATTGCTGTTCTCTAGAAGCATTATGAGAACACACTTCTGTAGTTTGCAGTGGTGTTTGAGGATGATGTTAGGGATTGAGTTAGGTTAGCTTGAGTTAGGGATTTCTAAAACTAAAAAGAAAACTTACAGAATCCCACTCCCACATTTGTCACATAATGGCACTTTCTGGACACCAGGCATAGCAGTAGGTGACTTTGTTACAGGTGCTTTCACACTTCTTGTTCCCACAGGGCGCCCATCTGAGAAACAAAACAATCCTGTTATGTACAGGCTAATATAAAAGCATCTTTTATGAACAGGCTTATATAAAAGTGTCTGATGCAGTTGAGTACTTTTCTGCACTTTTCTGCACTTTTTGTACTGTACATACAATTCTGGAGGTATTTACAGGCTTTCAATTATATCATCAAACAATGCAGTTTCACCATAAAAGTTTAGTAGGCCAGATCCCACCTCTTTGGAATCAAGAAAAATATTGTATAGCAGTAGCCAAAAAGCAAGTACAAAGAAGGTGGTTTATACAGTGCTCTCTGTCTCATGGAGATCACCCAATTCTCTGATAGTAGGTCTTATAGCAGAGAGGAAGGAGAATTGGGCTTTAACATAGCAATGTAACATAATCAGGGCCTATTTTCAGAAAGCTTCTTATTTATATAACTAACTGTGCAACAGGTTTGGAAAGATTAGTAACATGGTATGAATGCAAAATGATAGAGAAATACAAGAAAATGCTAAATAAAATCCCACAATTATATATATTTAGACAATAAAGTATATTTATTCCTTCCCTAGTAAATAATGACATATAAACACTAAAATTTTGAATTTTAGGTTGTCTAAAATTAGTCTGTCTTTTAGGTTAATTTTGGTTGTATTTTACTCTCTATGCTTACTTCAAATATAACAAACTTGCAGTCTTTAGTAGTTTTATTTTCAAAATTTCTTCATTTAAAGGAAATGTGACTTTAAATTATATCATCCTCTTCAGTTTTTATTTATAATGAAGAGGAAATGGGTTTTAAGATTTCAAGAGTTGGTTTAAATTCCTCTTTTCCGGGATGTGGAAGAGAGTGTTTTCTTTCTTGGTGTCATGAGTATAAGCAGTTTGTCCCAAAAATTCTCTTTGATAAAACTTTCTATCGTGCAATTGAAATCAAATTTGTATATTAAAGATCTTAAAATCTGAGAAGAGGTTCTGAAAAATGTGACCAACATCTGCATTGTATTCACAGAGGAGATTGCTTGCTATACAAACATGGAGGGGAAATGGCAGGAGACAGGTGTAGCTCTAAGTTATGGAATGATTTGGGCTTTCAGAAATTCTTGTATCTCTAATCTCTCTTATTTTCTTCTTGGATTCCCCCCTCCCATAAACATTTTAAAATGATTTGAACAGGTAGAATATGTTGTTATTAACCACCTTCCTCGGAGACTAAATTCTGGAGCACCTTAAAGGAGCCAGACTGGCGCGGCTGACTGGGCTCTTCCTGGTTAGCGTGCAGCATCTTGTACACATCAGACTGACACACTGAGTTGGGAGATGGGTCACTGTAATAAAGGGAGGAAGAGCAGGTAAAACAGTTTATCAAACATAACTTTGAAGCAATAGCTCTACTAGGCATAGAGTATGACTCAGGAAACAAACATAAGGACCATGTAGTCCTACAACTTCTGAAAACTCTTTTTTCCAGGTAGCTCTGCTTTATATAGCCTCCTTTTGATCTAAAATGTGCTGAAAAACATTAAATCAGTTCAATTGTTAGAAAAATAAATCTAGAAACTCATTAAAGTATTTCCAAAATTACTCTTTTGGCTCTTCTGGCATTTGAGAATAGGATATTTAATCTCAAAGTAGTTTCATTCCTGCAATCATCTGCTATATTACCAGGTGCTCTTTGATATGGTACTGACTGAGAAGTTCCCTTTTCACAGCAGCTGCCCTCAAGGAAGTTATTGAAATCACAGCTCATGACTTTATATAAGGTCAGCCAAAGCCTAACCAGACAAATCTTTTGGGAGAATGTGACTTCTAAGCTGCCTTGATCACTAGGTAATATAGTGATTATTTGGCTACGATATTTGTTATTTATTTAAATTATGGGGATGACAAAAAAGAGTCAAATACATATTGCATAATAGGAAACACTGTAAGGTGAATTAATTGTAAGGTGAATAAGAAATGGATGTTCTGTTTCTTAATTTAATAGAAATGAGACACAGCTTTCTTTTGCAATAACAATTTTATGCTAAAAATATAAATTAATTTATTGTCCAACAGGAGTTGATGGTTGAATCTCAAATGACCTGTGGGACAAAGATTTTCTCGGTAAGAATATTTCTCGGTATATTATATATATTTTTATATATATATGAGCTGAATATTTTGAATTGTTCATGATAATTACATCCTAACTAGACAAGAGGTAGAGGACTATATGCACTGACAGGAATTACATTGAATGTGTGACATCTGTAAACTTTGAACAGCTACTGGGGGTAATTAGAAACATACAAATTTACTTTGATGAAGTCTATTATCTTACAGCTATACACACAAATATCCAGTTTAAATTTCCTATTGCAACTGGCTTCTTATTTTCCAAATAAAGTTAGACTGGCTTTTGCGTTAAATGGTTTGGTTTGTTTCCACTGTAGCATCCAAGCTGCCAAATGGCCCAGTAAGCGCAGCAGCTGTTGGACACTGACCCCTGTTGCTTATGTGAACTTTATGATTTTCATCAATCAGTAGATTTCTTTGAGCCATCTTTAAGCTAATGAAAAACTACCAGTTTCTTGTCAGAAGCTTTTAATGAATAGAAGTAGCTTAGTTTTCATAATTCCTGGCTATGGTTAATTAACCCCCTGAATTCTCTCCTCTTTACTAAAATATTTCTAGATATAAAACAGGTGATAATGCTATTATATACAGAAGGCAAAATACCCAGACACAAATGTGTGATTTGTAAATGCATACATAGTGAAAAGCAATCCCAAACAGCAAAAGACATTTCAAACTGTGTAGAGAGTAGGTTCTCAAACTGGCAATCTCACGGCAGTGTGAAATCTGATTACTTTGTGGTTAATTCATTATTTCAGAATAATGAAGCAGCATATTTTTATTGTTCTGATTGAGCATAAATATTCAAGCACTAGAGTAACTTCACTCTGTGAAGACTTCATGAACTACAGTTTTCTTTTCGTCAGATAGAATGAACTTAAATACCTTTCTATAAATACGGGTTTTTTTGGTTATTAGCAGCCAAATTCTGCAAGGTGCTGAAGAAGGCTCATAGGTGCCAGTGATTATTGGTAATTTAAAATATTAGTAATTAGCTCTAGTTTACATCATACATATTATGAATTATTAACTGGTGCTGTTGTAAAACAGGAAAATAGGTTACTGTAGTGCAAAGGTAAAGATAAAGCAACTTGAATGGTGAATTGTCTCCTGAAAAAAATGATTAGGGTGTTAAAAATTTTTATTGTATAATCATAATTGTTTTCTATATACATAAGGTTTCTACCTGAGTTTGAGTCGGGCAATGGATAAAATTCATCAGTCAGACATGGATTTGTAGTCCTACCATAAATTCTGTCTCTTTTTATATGACAGCTAGTTATGCTGAATGAGTTGTCTAGAATGGGAGCTGAGTATCTAGAACGCTATAACTATCTATAAAATTTCCTAATCTTCCTAATCTGAATTTCAACAGTGGAAATAAGTTTTATTTATTATTATCTTATGAATTATTAGTAAGAGGAAATGATTAAATAATTTTATAAATAATTATAATAGTAATAAACCATTTTGAATTTTGGAGGTATAAGAATCTTGATTTGGAATAGTCAGTCAGCTGATAGTATAGGTAATACCATAATTTTTTATTTACTACCCACAATTCTAAGGTTATTACCTATGAAATATTTATTTGTAAGTTCTGAAGGATTCCTTTAATACTTTGGGTTAAACCCCAGAGAATACTAGCATTTTAGTAAAAATACTGAATTTAAAATTACTTAGTTCTTCTCTGACCCTTTTCCCCTTTTTCATAGAAACAGTTTGATATTATTACAGCTCATGATTTTTGGTATCGTTTAAATTTGTGTATTCATAAATATTATAGATATTGCTCTAGTTACCTTATGACAGGTGTTTCCCCCAGAGCTGTAGAAACTTGGCCTTGCAGTGTTTCCATGATATTGTCATCTGAGTACAACTGCATAGGTGTGTTAAACTGAGCGTGTACAATCTTGACACCAGGAAGGTCCATTTCCAGGGGGACATTAGGGGCCATCTTAGACACTGCTTTCAGCTCGGTGGGGCAGATGGAGCTGACCGTGCTAATTGAAGAGGGGGTGCTGCGTCCACTGCCACAGTCCAGCCCGGAAGGAGTGCTGCATCCACTGTGTTAATAGCCAGAGTGCAGGAAAGTGTGCAGTGTGCATTAGATTATAGAGAACAAAGACAAAAGGACAGGGATATGGTGATGTTAACAGGGCTGAAAGGCATAAATGGAACAGGCTCGGAAAAGCAAAAGTATAGAAAGGAGAGAAAAGCAAAAGTATGTGTAATCATTGCAAATTGCTTTCCTATAAAAAGTACCAATGCCAGCTATAAAGTAGTCCTTAAAATTCTGGTGTGTGTTTTCTTCAAAGAGAGCAAAAATCCATTGATAGATGAAATAATTTAGAATGATACATTATTTACATTTTTAATGCTTGTTTTTATTGAAGATTAATTAAGCCTCCCTAAAATTCTTTGTTCTAAGAGAGTGATTCTTAATATCCATAAAAAGGGTAGCAAAGTTTTTGTGGGTTGTCCATGTCAGAACACCTGCAGCACTGGAATCAAAGACTCTTCATTCCTGATCTATGTTTCACAACCATCTCACTCCACTGTTGAAAAGTCTAGTGTAAAGTAGTGTAAAATAACAAATGTGACATTATCTAGATTTCCAAAGATTCTACAGGAAGATATTTATTGATATTTTAAAACTAGTTGAGCAATTAAAAAAAAAAAAGTTAATCATTATAAAGAAAAAAAATAGGCTTACTTTTGCTTTTCTAAGTTACAGTGTTGCCATTAGAATGTAAAGTGGTCCTTCGCAAGAACAATGGATACAAATTGAGAAAATTGTTTTTACTGCTTTTGAAGTAACTTTACATATAATTTATACATAAAAAAATATGAACACTTTTTAGAAATATTAGTATTCCTTGACATTACTGAAGTTACTGTACAACAATTCAATATGTCTGGAAAACGATTAGCAAAACAATGTGAACATTAGGCCTGAAGTCTTTTTCAGTGTCACTATTTTGAATACTTCAATCTTCTCACCATAGTATCTCAGAAGTTTTCGTTTTGATGGGATATTTCTTTGCTGTTTCAGTGTAACAGCACATAACCAATCTTTCTAGAGTCATTGTTTACCATTTATGTGATATTTGGAGCTGTGGGACAATAAAGGGTTCATCTCTTCCTCCAGCATAATATCAGGGTTGTGGTTAGTCCTATCCAAGCTGTGTAAATCTGGGACAATGCTCTATTTCAGAACACTGCCCAGTAGCTGCTAAATTTTCCTGTTGATTCAGAGGGGAATTTGTGTAGGACCACTTTCTCAAAATTTTAAAGGGAAGTATATACTTTCTCACCAAAGACATGCCAAACAAGAGCATTCCAGAAAGACAGGCAAGCCCTAATGCAAATATAGCTGTGCATCATCAGATATAATTGAGCATGAGCTAGCCAAAAAAATTCACACAGGGTAATATACATATTCACAGTATTTTCTTTTAGAAGATGAATACCACCCTTAGATCTTTCAGTAGACTAAGTTTTGTCAGTGCTAATAGTGTTAGTAAATGGAAAGTAGTAGGCAAAGACTAGAAAAAGCACAACTCACGCTCTCACTATGTAAAGACAAAGTAATGTTAAAATAGAGTAAACAATAGGTAATAAATAAAATGTAGTTATATATTAAATACAATTTCCAATTAGTTTCACCAGAATAAAGTCCAAAATTCTGGGCAATATCAGATCCATTTGCTTAAGCCCACAGTCCACAATCAAATCTTTTAGTCAAAGTCCTATTCAGCATCAGCTGTCTGTCCTAAAGGGATATTTAAATCCAAGGCGGTGGTTTGTTTTTTGCTGTGTTTAGCAGCAGATTTAGTCAAACTGATGGAAGTGTAGCAGACAAACAGTGTGACAACCCAGGTGTTGTAGATGTAACACCTTGTCAGAGATTCTGCTGTTTGCAAGTGCAGACCTCCCCAGTGCTAGAACATCTGAGAGACCTTGCCCAACTGAAGTTCTTAAACTCGCTGCTGGGGTGGTTTCTGCAGCTTATTTTCCTCATCTTATATGCTGGTAATGGCCATTTACTTCAACATTTTAATGGAAAACCCTGTGTAATTTTCATTTATGAATTATGAGATAAAGCTCATGATAAACTTATTTGAATCTTCATAGATCCAGGGAAATTGTACCTAGTGGTCCCAAAGCCAGTTTTGATACAGTGTGTGAGTCTGTGGTTAGAGGGCCTGGATGTTTGCTAAGGACTGTTTTGTCCTTGAGCAGCCTTTCTCGCCTGTGGTGGTGTTCTACATTGATAGTTTTTGTTTGCAACATGGGACCATCTTCTACAATCAGGTAAATGACAAATTTAAGGCATCTCTCAAAACTGATGATCCACATGAGATTGTCCTTTATACGCTGGAATAATTTATTATCCTATGTTTCTGCTCTAGTTTGTCAGACTTAAATTAATATACTTAAAATAGAGGCATTTTTGATTTTCAGCATTAAATGTAGAACACTAATTCCACTAGTAAAGATTGCTCCTGCTAGAAATGTTAAAGGATCAGATCACAATATGTTGCATCCCTCAGGCCCTTCTGAGCTTCCTTGTGTTTTTAGGCACACAGTTTGCTTTGGATTTTTCCCCTCTGTAATAATGTAAATAGTAGTGAGGAATTTAATTACCAGTTAAGACTGAGGATTATTACACTAAAAGGATCAATGTAAATATATAAGATTTTCTGCATTGCAGTTTTACATGTCTGTGGCATCAGTGTTCTTATTTTTAGCTCAGCAGTAGCTTGGTCTCTGGAAAGACGTCTGCTGAAATGCAAATCTAAAATCTCTGAATGACCTAGGTTACAACTGTATGTAGCTATCTTTTATTTAGCAAGTTAACAAGTTACCTGTAATTGCGTTTGGACAGAAGTTCACCAAATATCTGGTGCCATGCTGTAACTGAATCATAGCTATAGTTACTTCAGACTCTAATCAGTGTAACTGAGATGGGGAGGGTAGATCTGCTTCCTTTTGGAAATAGAAATCAGAATTTCAAGCCTGAACTCTGCAAATCAACCTTTTTTTTTTTTTTTGCTTTAGATTTCAGCATTAGGCTGTCTAGTACCATAAGTAAATTTCAAATGCATCAGAATGCTTAATTAATGTCAATGATGAGTATCCATCCATTAAAAAAATAACACCATGCATCAAATCTAGCACAGCATTCAAAGTTTATAACCTGCTTCGGCCTGAGATTATGAAAGGTTTGGGCCGAATATTATGCTTGTGTTCAAAATAGTTGATATCCTGCAAAGAAAAGAAAGTTTAAATAGCTTTCTTTGGCCTACAAATGCACATTTCTAGTTAAAACATAGCTAACAAAGTTTACAAATTTTACCCATGAAGTAACCATGTTTAGTTTGTTCATTCCTGGTGCTCAAAATACAATCACTATAGTGCTCAGAAACCTTCAGAATGAAATGCAGGAGAAGCTTGGAGGGTAGTGTTGAAGCCCAGTGTAGAGGGCAGCATTGCTGCTAGAAAGCTGAATGAATAGTTCTCTGTGACGGAAAAAATAGTTTCATTTATCACCTTTTTTTTTTTTTTTTTTTTTTTTTTATGAATAATATCCCTATTCGCAGAAAAAAAACAGCAAGAGCTGGACTTTTAAATGGAAAACAGAACAGATGATACACCACAAAAGACTATGTATTATGAGTAAATACTAATACTCACTTTTGCGATGAGTAAGGAATGAGACCCCTCAGTTGTCCATGAAGCGCGTCTTGAATATTGCCAGATGAATAGAGCCCAATTGGAGAATTATAGGAGGAGCTCACTACCTGTCTTTTGTCATCAATATTTGCTGCTGCAACAAAAGGCTGGGCCCTTCTGTTGTGAGCTGTACCAATAGGCTTGAATTCCTGTACATGATAGGCAGACAAAACACACAGAGCTACAATGCACACCAAAGCTAGCAATGAGTAAAACTGACAACATCAGTATTGTTAATCTCTGCATTTTTACTTTCGCAGCTTGGTTATTTTTTAACTGGTGCAAGCATATTATATTTTTCCATGAATGTTGTATATATTACTTGAGCCATACAAATTACTTTCCCTCCTCCAGGCAAGCAGAAGGCTTAGAAGAAATGGGAGGGATGAATATTATAGTGAACTTTCATATTATTCTTCGGATTTTACACTGTTTAATTTTTTCTTTTAAAACATTTCATATATACTTATCTTAATTGCTTTGCTTTAGTGCTAATCTCTAGCTTCTCCATTCTGTATTTTCATCACATACTGATGGAGTGACTTCCAAAAGTATGATTTTATTGCAAGTGTCTTACCTGGAAAATACGTAATTTTTAATCCTTCTTTTAACCAAAATAAAGTCTTGAACATAAATCAGATTGAGGACATTCTTCTGAATGTTTTTTATCTTTAAAGCATATCTATGCATCAGAAATTGCACAGCTGTATAATTTAATGTGAAATCATCATAAATAGGTAAAACCCAGAAATGGTTGAATTTGAAATTGTTCTGCCTATGTTTGTTTCTTTCTGGATTACTATTTTTTTTTTTTTTTTTTTTGTTGGCCACGATAAATTCATAATTTTTTCAAAGATTTCAAAGGGATAAGATCTGGAAATAAAATCTCTGATGACCTTTCAGATACCAAAAAATGTCCTTCTGTATTGGTTGGCCAGGAATGATAAAGACTTCTGACTGCGTGAAAATTCTCTTGTTTGTATTCTGCATATTTATTGCAGTGTCCTTTGGGTCCCTTCCAACTCAGGTCCACTCCTAAGCCTCAGAAACAGATACTTTGGAAACAAATAATGTTATCATCTGCTGAGGGATTTTTTGCTTTTACCATAGTGGGTTAAGAGCATTAACTGCTGCAGTCCATCGCCTTGTCCTGATGGCATGGGGCACTCTTTGGAAACAGTGCTGAGAGAGCATTTGAATTTCCATCTATACAGAATGAAAAACTTCTGTTTATAACAAATAGGTTTCTACAACATGAACTGGTCTTTTCTTTAGAGACTTGAACTTGCAATGTTAAGATAGCACAAGTCATGAATACTTGAATTTTCATAGAAACCTTTTCCAGTTCTCCAATTCAGCTGTGTTTTTGAGTATGATTGTTGTACAACAGTTTCCAAAATATTTAGGATAAGACTAAAGAAAAATCATGGATGTATAGAATATGCAACCAGAAAATGCAAACAGTAAAATGCAGTTTTATTAAATGAAAATGTTTAGCAGCATTGCACTTTAAGAGGCTACTGAAAGCAGCAATCAGATAAATGAGCACAAATTATTTGCAATTCCTTCTTTCTGTGTGATAAAACTGAGTTTCTGTTAACAAAATGTATTAGTAAATGGAAATAATCTAATAGTGTTTAGGATCATGATAGTTGATGAAAAACATTAATGTCAAAGTATTTAAAATTGATTCAAATCCATGTATGATACAAAACAAACAAAACCAACTGAGAACATTGTAATTTCATCCCCCATTTTCATTTCTCATAGAGAAATGAACAGAAGATGTGCACCATAACAGCATGTTTACAATGTAACAGTTGTGAAACAAGTATTTGCAGTTAGTTAGACTTTAATTCTGTTTTCTTTATAACTCATCTCTTCATGTAAAATGTCAGTGACAGAGCATACAGCAGCAAAACCAGTCCAGCTCTTGTGTTTATTTCATCTCATTGAGTCTGTGAAAAGTTCTCTTTTAGTTCAAAAGCTAAATGAGAACTGGGAATTGTTCAAATTCCTAATTAGGAATATTTGAGACTTATATTACTTAAATTTTTTTTTCCAACAGACCGATGTTTCTGTGCAGGGCTAGCTACATTTTTGCATTGATACATGTATCAGGAATAGAAATAATGTAGCCCCAAAAGTCTGTAGAAACGCATCCATCACAGACCATATGATGGCATTCTTGGGGTAATTGCTGTGACAGAACACAAATGTATACATTTTGGAGATATCATCTGACTAAAATCTTTATCTTTGAATGCTGTTATAAAAAGGAGTAGGTCCTCAAAACTAGCCCAGCGCAATTGCTTCAAAAGTTTATTTAGAATGGTAATAGACTATGAACTTACTTTTTAGAACAATGGGCTGTCTTTTTCTTATATTTTTATACTTATCTATGTGCATAATCTATCCCCCAGGAGTGTATAATCTCCTTCATGGCTAAAAGTCTAGTCTCACTGAACAAAGTGTTCAAAGGCAAAAATAGAAGTTAAAAAAATAAAAAGTCCAAATAAAAACAATTCAAGAAATTATGGTAATCAATACAAAAGTATTTTCAATGATGTTAAAGGGATTGTAACAAAAAACATTTACAAGTCATAATATTCTTTTACATTGACAATATAGTGGAAAGCATTTTCAAAATAATTTTATTATACAGTTTGCCATTTAGGTGGTTTTGTTTTCTCTTACTAATTATATTTGTTGAGAACCTTATGTTTCTAAATTTTGTTCAGAATACAATGTGATTGTATTAATAATTTTCAAGTGGTCTGTTATTTCCTATTATTTATCCATCACACGACAGATTGCTCAAGTCTAACAGATTCAGGGTGGCTGGTTGTTTATGTGGGAATGTGTAACTTTCAAGAGTGACTCTCAGTCACCCATTTATTGCTACAAATTAGAATTGTTGCCTCAGTTTCCTCTTCCCAGATTTAAAAATAGTGAGAGCTTCCATTGTGCCCTGGCAGTTGCCTGTATGAGTCTCCAAATAGCTCTTGGGAGATTCTCAGTCTGATACACAATTTTGCTACAGTGTGAAGGTTCCTTGTTCCGTTGCTGTAAGTAAGCAAAGTATTTAATTGTTTATCAGCTGTCTCCAAGCATCTGTAGAATAATTTTCATTCACTGAAGCTAAAGAAGCATTCTTTGGCCAAATATTTGGCCAAATTGCTGAGCAATTTAAAATAGATTTTACATTAATTTGTAACTAACTTTTACTAACTTACAAACATGAATTACATACTTATTAAGAAGATTGTGTTAAGTTGTTATCTGTTATTCTTTAGTTGGCTTTTAAATAACTGACTTCTCTTAACTTTCTTGGTGAATTTTAAAATATCTCTTTGACAAAAGTGAAAAAATTCCAATACTTTATAAGATCTATGACCTTTTGAGTAATTTTGGTTATTATATAAAAAGAAGAAATAGAACTCACTAGTTTTCCATTTCTGCACACCAGTGAATACATGCAATATTTTCGATAAAATAGTTCTACTTTTGAGGTGCCACATTACTGCTTTTGGATTTTTCTCCATTTATATCAGCTTCACTTCCTGTATTTATTGTTAGAATCCAGCAAACCCTTACATGACTTGGAAAGCACAGGCTGTAGTTCTGCAAAAATTTGGCATCTGAGATTCAAGAAATTTTGTATTGTTTTGTCTACTTTGGAATACATACTGCTGTGTCTTATGATTAAATATGCTGCAAAATTTCATTTTTAATTACATCAATTGTAGAAAAATAGCCTATATGTATTTTTTCCCCCACAGGGAGTGATGGATGCTCTTGGATGGAAGAATTTAATCTAAAATGCAAAGCATTCCAGGAACAATTTAGAATATTTGTTTGCAAATGTTGCTATTTTTTGGTGCCTACTGTTTATTAAATATACTCAGTACTCCTGATTTTTCTAAGAACAAAAATGAAATATACTATTGAAAAGGCTGGCTATTTAATTTAGGAGAAACAGTTTTTCTGACTGCCCAATGGAGGCTGCTGTTCAATAGTCTGACAAATAGCACTTAGTGAAATCTTGTGATCTATTTTTAAGGAACTGTCCTTTTTAGGAATGCAGCTTTCATGCAGAGGGATTACTCTTGTGTCATGCATGCCTGCATGGTTTTCTCTATTGCTTTTTTAGTGAATTTTTTCCATTGCTATTAATTTAATATGTATCCTAGCTCTTCCACAAAAATATGCATTTGAAATAGTTTTGTTTCCTCACTGTAGTATTTCTGCTGCTGAAGAGGCTATATTAATTCTGATGGAGTTTGCTGTATCACTTAATGCAAATTTTAAGATCAGAAAGAAGAGAGAGGAATGTAACACAGAAATGCTGTATTCATTTTCAGGAGTTTCTCCATGAAAATAGAATTGGTGGAAATCTTTATTGCACAGCATTTATTGAAATGCAATCTACATTTACATTTTATTTTCTAGGATATCACAGAGTAAATAGTTTGACTTTAAATATAAATACTTTACATTTGCTTTGAACCTGGCCTTCCAGGATCACAGAATGTTCTTCCTCTCTCTGCTCTTGAGATAATAACAAATGTTCATGTAGGTTAAAGAGGAATGACAAAAAAGTAAAGGACTAGTTGTGATCAGTAACTAACTAATCAGCTATTTGAAAGAAGTAGCTAGCTAATTAATTGTTAGCAATATGAAGACTACGCCTTTTTTTTTTGAGTTTGAAGAGAGGAATGGCTGTCGATTGATTGGATTTGCTGTGGTCATAAACGAGGATCAAGACTTTCCTAGTCAGAAGTGGTGATTTGCATATTAACTAGTACATGGGTCTTGTGTAAACTTGTAAACTTCAGTTCTGTGGTGTGGTATTAAAATGTATGGAGGTAAAGAGATCCAGCATTTATGGATCTCTCTGTTTAACCAACTGTTACATCAAAATGAATTTTGTGATCTGATGTGCTCATCACTTGGATAGTTGATATTTATTCCTGACTGAAAAACTTCCTCATGTGACAAAGAACCTCGAAAAGAGTTAAATGAGATTAAACTGTATCAGAATAAAAGAACATGTTTTATTTCCAAAATAAAACTATGGTGATATGTAAACTCTTAAAGAAAAATGTTGTAGCTTCTTAATGTTATGTTTTGGTTATAGCTGAAAAATCAAAAACATTGAATCAGATAAAATGGTATTCCTATATGTTATAATCATGGTAGTTTATATTAGCTTAAACTGGCTAATTATGGATGAAGCTCTAGTTAAAGAATTTTAATGACCACGAGGGAGATTATTTGGAGTCTAGAAAGGCAAATGGAAATGCTTAGGTAACTTTTTGCAGTTCATACCTGAGGTTCAGCTTCCAAATTTATCTTGAAGGGATGTGCTTTGCCATCTTCTGAAACTTGTGGAGACCATAATTTAGTTCCTGCCCTAGAAAGAAAGAAAGGCAGAATTTAAATAATTAAAATTCCTATAGAGTTGTGAATGTCCCTATAAAATATAATGCAGCTTGAAAGTGTGCAGGTTTTTTCTATGCTTTTTTTAGTGTTTTCGCACAGAAATACTTCAATGATATGCAACCAATATATATGAAATATATAAAATATATAACTATATAAATATATAAATATATAAATATATATTTACTTATATATAAAATATATCAAATGTATATACGTATTTTATTTACTTTAATATATATATAATATTATATAACGTATTTACTTAAAAAATTATATATGCTATGAATGATGGGAAATAGGTTGTTAACAGTTACCAAACGCAAAAGGAAAGTAAATTAGTACCTTTCTGAACTGAGCTGATGAAACTTTTTAGTTTTATTTTTTTAATGGTTAATATAATGAATGTTGGGTCCTCAGAATATTTGTATGAAGAAGTGAATATATTAGCAATAATCCCAAACATCAACTTCTTTTTCTTTAAAGACCATAATTTCCATGTAAAGCCTGCCTTTCAATGTAGAAGTGCAATCTAGGTATGCAAAGTATGTGCAAGGGGAAATTGAAGTTACACAGATGATTCTTTCAGTCACGTAGGCAGAGGTAGCAAACATGAAAGTATCAGTTACAGTTCTGTTTTCATTGACAGAGTGAAATGTGGCAGCTAATTTTAAAGTAGCTTAATAGTAATGTTAAATATTAATCTGATACTACTTGTTACATATACATTTATCACATTTAAAAATGGGTTTCCAAGATAGTTGTTAAATGGCATATATCAATCTGTAACAGATCCTTGGATTAGCAGCAGGAATGATTAACCATGGTGTGTGCTCTAGTAATTCAACAATACTCGTTAAAAAAAAAGGGACACTTTCTCTATTTGGAAAGAAATATTGTGGTCAACTACAATAAACAGTTATGCCTCCTTGAGAGCCTCAGGTTAATCAGGCCTGTCTTAATTGTGGAGACAGCTGAAAGAGTGCTAAGTGATTTTGATTACAGGCTAAGCAAACTAAGCTGGAGATGTGAAGCTGCAGGTTGTTCGCTTTCCTGGCTCTATTAAGAGAAGCAAACACCAAAGTTTCTGGATTCTTGCAGTTTAGGTAAGACAGCGTTTCTCAGTTTTATTTTGAATATTACTGTGAGAATCTTGTGTTAGGCTTAATATGTTGTGACCAAAGAGATTGCCTTTAAACCCACTCCTTTGCCTCCCCTTGTGAAAGTCTGATATGATATTTTTTCCCTAACTGGGATGATAGAGTAGCAACTTCATGTGTGATTGGGAGAAGGAGGTAAGATAAGCAAGTGTTAGTGGAGAGATCATTGTACAACTGACACTAGATGAGGGTTTTGTTTTTTCCCCAAAACATGAAGAGCTGCTTGCTTACTGACAGTTAACAGAGGACTTGTGCATTCAGCAGAGATACATTGTGAGTAACCTGAGGGAAGCTGTTCTTTTTGTGCTTACGAAGATGAGTTCTGGGGAGTCTTGCTTTAGCTGAAGTTTAAGAGGTAGGTCTTGTAATTTTAAAGATATTGTGAGCTTCTTCAAACTAATTGTACTGTTGATTGAGTGGTATCTTTCAGAAATAGGCAGACGTGTACACGTACCTCTCTATTTTCAAGCAAAGCTGATGTGTAGCTGCTTTAATTCTCTCCTGGGCATCATTATGTGTCATGTTCTCTGTGCCTAGACCATCAATAGCTATAATAACATCACCAGGGCACAGGTTGGCTGCTGAAGCCTTGCTTCCGGGGGTAATCTGAAAAGATCAAAATGTAACTGCTTAATCATCATGCATGCCTGAAAAGAGATAGAGAAAATAAACTACATCATGGTCCCCATATTTCCTGTTGGATGGGGGAGGTGTTTTGCCAGAGCTTCTGCAGTTCTATTGCCAGGTAACTGTATGAATGTTTTTATCATCATAACTCCAGATTAGATGGAAATTATCCTCTGACTTCTCTATTAGCTTCTCCTCAGATATCTGTAGTTACTGTAACTCATCTTTAAATCTTTTTTCTCAACTGCCATTACATGATTTGTTTGAAAATAACTTATGTTTCCCCCTTATCAACACCAGCAGAAGAAAAGAACTGTTGAGAAACTGTGTTACTCAACTCCCTAAAGTGCTTAGCTTTAAGTCCCCTGGCATTTAAGTAACAGTGGCCCTGATCCTTCAGGATGGTCTGTGTGGTGCAATTCATACCTCATGTAAATATACTACTATCTGTGACATTCACAGAAATAGCTCTACGCTTCACTTATTTTTCTTTGCTTGTTTTTTTTTTTTTATTCTTTTTGTTTCCTAGATGAGAATCTTCTATATGGTTGTTAAAATAGTTGAAATGCAACATAATTTTGCTTTAAAATAACTATTGCAGAGAGGCTGTGACCTTAGCTGTTAGTGAAGCTTGTTCTAAAATTGCAGGCCTTTGTTTACAAAAGGTTCTCCTACCACCACAATGCTTACACATATCACATACACAACAGGCCTTAGGTCACTGAGTGGAATTTCAGTCCTTTGTGTGTGTATTGCCATTTTAGGTAACTCTTGATTACCTAGATAGCAACATGAAATTGATGCATGTAGCACATAAGCTTCTGAAATTCAGCTCTCAAACAGCAGAAGGGACAAGTTGAGTCATCTGTAGTAACATCAGCTGCTTATTTGTAAGTAAATGAATCCCAGTATGAAGGACAAAAATGTCAATATATTCTTATTTCTGAAAGTAGTTCTTCTATCTGTGGCATATATTAAATAAAAAAGCAATTAGAAAGAATTTTTCTCACTACTCGTTCTGCTACAGTGAAAGCAAGTATTATCTTGACTGGAACACATGCTATGGAGACATTCTTCAGCTCTGGTGTTTCACAATTTTCCAGCAAAGGAAAAGAGTAAGCTGCCCAGTGTATACCTCTAGCATCTTCTGAACCCCAGCTTTGGTGAAGCTGGCAGACTTGTCTCAGAAGGGGACACTACTTTCAACACAAAACCAAACAGAAATTCTTTTTGATATGAGTTGCACTGTATTAATATTAAAATAATGGAAAGAATCAGTGAAAGGGAGTTTGTTCTCTCCTCTTTCTAGCTGTTCCTCTCCATTAGGTGGGTCTGAATGAGCAGAGACCTTAGAGATTGTTACAGTGATATCAAAAATAAGTTTACACACTGGAATGCAGAAAAAGAGCTCACAAAACAAACTACAATGTGTGTGTTATTATCAACACAAACTCAGACAAACTTTCCAAATGGGTGCTTGTGGCCAGCTGCAGGCTTTTATACCCTGACCCTTCAAAAGAATGGACAAGTATATTGTGTACTTATCAAAGTGTTAAGGTGCCTGAATAATCTGAATATGAATTGAGGCAGTTGCTCATGAATTCTAAGTCTGAATTCTCAAAAATGGTCTGTTTCTCCAACTTCAACAGCTCCAAGTGTAAATAATCAACACTGAGACCACTGACACCATTATAAGACAAGGTTAGAAGTATAATCATTCTACTCCCATCAATATTGGTTTAGCATGTTGTTAATATGTCTGCAATGACAAACTGCAGCAGAATTCCTTTTGTTCCAATGTGACTGTTGATTCTCTAATACCTAACTGGGCAAACCCAGCCATTCTTGGGTCTCTTTAGAGAGTAAGTTAGCTTGTATAGGGCCATGTATAGCTTGTATAGAAGTTATATAAGTAACCCTTATAGAGATTGCTCTGCACATTATGTTTTTACATGTCACAATGAATCATCTGCTCTACCTGTGACGTACTGCAGCAAAGCACTGAGATAACAGTCCTGCCTTATAAAGTAGCATATCTGTCTAGCACAGTACATTCCTCTGCAGCTGTCCTGCTAGCAGAACTTGCCCTGCACTGTGTTGCTGGTAAATCCTTTGTGTTTTATAAGTTGCCACCAGCTGCAGCAATACCACTTTCATGTTTGAATGGGGTTACCATCATTCGATGGGAACAAGGACAGAAAGGGCCAGGAGTCTCTATTTCCTATTCCTTGCCTGAAGTGATTATTGCCAAGCTTCTGTGATGTCTCTTTTGGGCCTTAACACCTTGATGGGAGTGCTGAACTCTTGCATGCTGAGCCCTGCTGGGGTGCAGAGAAGGCACCTGCCCTGCAGACTATATTTTATGGAAAGGGATCGTGTTGTGCAATGCAAGATATCACGGGTATAATATTGATATTGTGGGTACTTCAATAACGTAAGTGATACTATTTCTTAAGGACTTACTAGACTTATTAGTTAGTGTTATGACTGTAGTGTTTGTGGCTTGCTCACCCTGGCTTCATGAGGTAGGTTTTACTACTACTTTGGAAAAAAATTTGCCTTGCTCTTCAGGCCATGTCTACGTGATGTGCCTGTTACTCCTGTATCCTGGGTGTCTTGGATTTGAATAAATACAAGACTGTGTTGATCATTCAGATGTTGTCATGGACTAACTATTTAACTACATGAAGGTCAATGTCTCCAATGAAACTTTGAAGAAAATGTCTCTGCATCTGATCATAGATTTGAAAAGCTTATCATCTTGCAACATCATAAATATTTCAGGCTCTTGAGTTTTCTGAATAGGGCTATGAATGTCTGCAGACAGAGTGGCTGAACATAAAGTTGAGTTAATATGAATACTTGCATTGTGATTGGTAAAGATCTATAAAAATAAAATAGAACTTAAGTCTAGAGTTGATAATATTTCACCCTTCTCTCCAAACTGTTCAAGTTTTAATTGCTCCTGTAAGCAGTTTCATTAATGCAATTTCTTTGCATCTATGCAAACTTCCAAGGATTTAAATGTTTTCAGTATTTGCGATTGTTTCTGACTATAATAGAATTTGAATATGACAATTTTTAGTCTCCTCCTGGTTTTTCTCTCTCCTGGTGATCATGGTCTGTAGTTTTTGCATTTGCTTGAAACAATCAAAGCAACAGAACAATTTGCACATGAGCTTTTGAAGTGACATCTGCTCTTTAGACAGGTGGATAATGGTCTCTTATGTCATCTGTCTCTCTTGACAAGTCCTGATAAAAGCTGTCTCTTGTTGAACAAGGACATAGCCAACCAATCTTAACACCTGTCCAATTATTATATTCAAAATGTATTTTAAAATGTTTTTTAATTTTTGTCTATTTTCTTGTCAGGACAGTTAAGCCAAGTGTGAATGGGTTGCTTATGATACTTTGTGCAAAAGGAACACCTAGGTCCCAAGAGGCAAGACTTGTAAATCTTGTGATATGTTCCTATTTTTAAGGGCTATTGCAAGAATATTTATTTAGGGACTCTTCTAAATGTATGCTTTGGCAACAAAAATACTAACTTTCAAAAACTCAGCCATTAATATTCTTTAACCTGGGCTAAGCAAATGTAACCTTGTTTTTTTCCTATACATATATATATGTAGATATATATTTATTTCACTGTTCTACTTGAAATGTGATTATAAGCATTTCTGTAATATGCCAGAAACCAATGGCTTATGTCTTGTGAGGCATTTTGTAGGTATGAGTCAACTGCAAAGTAATTTATCCTTTAGAAAGCTACATTTATAGTAACATCCTTTGTTATTGCAGTTTTAAACTTCATTGCACTTAATCTAAACACAAAGAAAATACAAGCCAGACACCACTAAAATATTTTTCATTAGAGATAATGGAAACTATTTTTCTTTTAGAGGCCCATAAAAGGCAATGAAGGCCCAAAAACATCCAGAGATTTTTTTTATTCAAGGTTTTTGTTTCTTGTTTCTCCAAAGGCTTTGCTATATTCTGTGAGTATTTATGTAATGATATTCAGTCAAATAAAAGCATTCTGATTTACTTCTGTTTAAAATACATGAAAAGTTTTATACTTCTATAAACCTGGAATGAATGACTAAGTTAATTTTTACTGGTTAATATGTGAAAAGATGGTCCTTAAGCTTTCTACTGATTCTTGTTTGGAAGCATATTTACCACAAGATATCACTTGGTGGTATCCATCCTTCAAGGCTTTTGACGTTTACTCAATACCAGGCATAGTGCTCATAGTGTAGGGCTTTTTTAAAAAAAAAAAAAAAAAAAATCCCTCCCCCCCCAAAAAAAGTGTAGTGATTTGGAGGCTCACGGAACACACAGTTGGTGTGTCTAAGGTCCTGAAAAGCAGCAGAAATATTAGGAGAATGAATTCTACCCTGATGTGCATTGAATTGCACAATTTTCAAAACATGGAAATTATCAAAATATGTATCTTGTTTTTTGAGTACATCCACATCTGTAGATTCAGGGCAGCTAACAGTGTGTTGTAGGTGACACTGATTGAGTAACTGGTTTCTTAAATTGCAACTCATTTCTCAAAATGCATGAAAAAGAAGGAAGGCTCAAATTCTTGCCATTTAATGGGAGGGGTGGGGGTAAGGTAACTTTCTAAATATGACAAAACCCACCAAATAACTATCTCTTTCATATTCAGGATGGATAACTTTCTAACAACTTGCTCATTCAACATTTATGAAAGTGAAAACCTTTAGATATGTAAAAACATGTACTGTTGCCTTTGCTGGCAATAAACACAACTTGATTTAACTAAATAAGTCAGATTAATCTGCAAAGCACAAAATCCCAGACATGAGGATCTGCTGCCAAGCAATCTTTTTACCCAGTGATCAAAGAGGCTAGTTATGGAGAGCATAAAAGTGAGGTCTTGCTTTTAGTAAGTTTAAATGTAACTTTGAAAGCCTAGAGAATCGTGCCAGAGTTTTTCTGCTGCCAAGGCGCTTGCATTTAATTTTGAGACGTAAGTAGAAGTGCAGTTAAAGTCTCTTAAACCAATCACAGAAACATGTCACACAGAACTTGTGAAAACTCTTAGTATTCAGCTGGCTCTCTTCAGAACTAGCAGTTACTCTTTAATCCACTTGCAGCTTTGTCTGCATCTCTTAATTCCAGAAAAGGACAAAAATCTACAGCAACTATTAAATGGAATAAGTAGAAATGAAAAGGAAAGAGTACATACCCTGGTTATGATTAAGGGTTGGTTAAAATCTATTCCTCCTGAGAGCCTGAATCCCCAGGGTGACGGTCCTTGGAGAATAACATTTTGTGGCATTGTGGGCAGATTTTTCCTTGTTACTGTTCTTTTCTCCTTGGATCTGTGTGAGGAGCTGAGCTGCTGGAGGAAGGCTGCTGTCAGCAGAGCACCTGCCAGACAGGGCAGCCGATCTTTTATACCTCCTAAGAAGTTTTACTCATTCCAAAGCCGTGGGCACTGCACTTTATCCCTACTCTTTGGGTGACGTCAGCCAGTCCCTCGGCTTCTCCACCCACAGAGGGGAGTATCAAACTCAGACAAATAAAGCTTGGATGCTGGAAAGTTTACAGCAAATGCATCAACTTTATCTGCTGCTTCGGCGTCTCCCTCCCGACAATCAGTAAGCTTCAGGATGAAGCTGGTTTCTTAAAGCAACCTCGCTGCTCACTTGATATCATGCTGATTATGTTGCTGCTGTTTGATTCAGCTATGCAATGCAGTGCTCTGACTTTGTACATGACTCTGGTTCATATAAACAGAAATACTAATGAGGAGATTTCCCTCTCAAGGTCCTGTTTCACATCTCTTATTTGTAAAGTAATAGTTTATAGCATTGAAAAGTCCTTCCAGCACTTGAGCTGCATTTTTAAGATAGTTATTTGAGACCATGGCATGTACCAGTCCTACTGCCTTGAAAAATCTGGATTGATGTCATACACATTTCTCATGCTGAGAAAGAGAAATGCAGTATTAGGTGATGATGTCTTTTTTCCTTTGTAGAAATTGTAGCTTTTTTAAGGTAGTTGTCCTTTACTTGTGGCTTGCTAGTAGATAGTAGTGTTCATTAGAGGTTTTTGTAACTGCGTTCTTGTCAAGAATATGTCAAAGACATTCTCTATTATTAAACTATAATTCGCACCCTGATCAGAACAAAACTCATTAATAATGACTCTTTCAAAGTAAAACCATCAGAAAGGATATCTGTATCACAAAGAGCTTGCAGGGTGACTGTCAGCTGCTGGGGGCACAGCTTACATTAGGAATGTGGAGGAAGATAGGCCCATTTAAAGAAATAAGGCAGGTGTTTAGTTGGTGGTATCTCAGTCTTGGTAGCTCAAATACTTTTGTATATTTTGAAGTAGAGGAAAAAATCCTCTCATTCCTTCTGAGTACTGTATAAACTCTGGTATGTCCTAACATGTTTTGAGATTGGTTCAGTATATGGCTGCAATAAATTGCCACTGTATGGTTCATCCTGACAGATTACATTGTGTGTGTTACTGGTCAAAATTTATCACCAAGTGGCACTTTAGTTTCTTTTCTTCTCTTTCCTGATATCTGTTTTGAGTGAAATCCCCTTGCATGTTTGGTGCTCTTTTTTTTTTTTTTTTTTTCTCCTCTTTTCTAGTGAATCCTGTAATGTGTTTTGATTTGTAGCTGGGAATGAATAACGTATTAGATGTATTCATTTAAAGAGTTCTTTCATTTGCAATTTGCATTTTATTTTTCTCTGAGCACTGGCAATCTCAAATATTGAATCCTGCAATGCACTTCAGTAGAAAAAGATTCTGAAATGGAAGAATTTCAGTGTCAGGTCAAATCCATAATCAGGCTCTGAGTTTCCAGTGTGAATAATTATGCTTGCATAATGACTTGTTCAGTGAAGAGATTCCTTCTAAATTTATACTTAATATGCAGGCTTACTTATTAGGTGTGGGTTTTTTTATTTGGTTTTTGTATTTTTTTTTAAGAAACCCAAGTTTGGGATTGTTTGTAACAAGTGTCTGTAAAGTTTGTTCATGTTTGTGTACTATGCTGAGATTTGCTCATATGTCCCTTCTAATCTTGCTAGATACATGTAAGGGCAGGGTGGGATAAGCTTTTTATAGGCAGGTGATTGCTCTCAGTTTTGGTGGAAATTATATACATATATGAAGCTGAGCTCTTGCTCCAAGAATATTTTTTTCCTGCCTGTTTTACTGGAAGGGTGACTTGCTCTCCAAGGTGCTGTTGCTCTGGAGAGCAATTGATACATCCTGTTTTATTGATGTTTCCCAGATTGAGGGTTTTTTTTTTTCCTTTGTAATTAAAGATGGGAAAGAAAAAGATTTGAAAGGCAATACTGACTTGATGCCTGTCACGCAAGGCTGGTTTCTAGTTCCTTTTTGGTGACTGCTTTTAAGAAAGTCTTTCACCCATTTATACAGTATGTGTGCTTTTTTTGGTTTATCTACCTAGAGCACATGTTTTTACATATCAGACAAAAATGACCAGTTGAGCTGGAATGAAGACAGAGCATTTTGTCCACTTGACAAAGGTATATACCTTTCACTAAAGAACATTTTTTTTCTCTCTAGATTTAGGGCATCATATTTTCTTTCATAATAGTTGTAGCTATGAAAATAGATTTTTGTAAATATGAAGCAGCGCACCATTTGATCTTTTTTTTTTTTTTCTTCTCTTATGCCATGGAAGCTTCAATATAAGAAAACAAGTATTTTTAATAGATTTTCTTCTTTGGTTGTACTATAAGATAATTGGTGTTACAACTTTTCATACCTGCAAATTTACATCCTCTGAATTTAATGGCTGTGCTAAGAATTTATGTATAAAGTAGCCTCCTCAAAATCATAATGTAGTATTTTGGTTTATAGTATGACTATCCAAATGTTGGAAGCAAACTTCTGCGTTCCAGGTTGATACTTCATTTGATTTTTGTGCCAAATGTTATTTTTCTATCCAATGCAATCTAAAGGAGTACTAGTACTCTTTTTCATCCACCTCCTCATCCAAAATCAAAGGTTTTGGGGGAAGCCATATCAAAATCCTTTGTGTCACTCAACTTTTTTTAGATTTGGGAGCTTGGGTCACAAATTAGGGATTGGAATAGCAAAATGATGCACAAATCCATCACTGCAGACCATGCTGCCTCCTCCATGCTGCTTGGGTCACAAATTAGGGATTGGAATAGCAGAATGATGCACAAATCCATCACTGCAGACCATGGTGCCTCCCCAGCTTTGGACAATCAAGCTCCTGTGCCCATAGCATGGCATTGTTTATTGTTTTCCATGTTACTAGCAAAAGGTGAGCTTCTTAACTCACATCAGAATATTTTAGGGTGTCATTGTCTTATTTTTCTCCCACTATGTCCCTGCTTTGATGGAATAAAATGTGGTTTTCCTGGCAATTTGCCAGACTGAGAGTTGAAGAAAAAGGTTCTAAGGAGCAAATGTGTAAAATCAGTTCATCTTTCTGTAAACTCATGGAGTGCTCTGTTTCAGGCTGCAGAATCAGAATAAACTCTGGTACAGGCAGAAACAAAAAAAACCCCAAAAGCTTCAGAGTCTGCATTTTAAGCCATAAAGCTCTTGTCTTACTTCAGAGCTTAGTCTATATCATAATAAAGGATATTGGACTAGGCCACTGTTTGTGAAGTTTAGACAGTTACATCTAGGATAATAAATGGAGCCTGAAAATCACTTGCACATGTGGAACAAAATGTACTGAAACTGGCTTTTCGGAGGTGAAAGGTCAGAGTGTTCCAAACTGCACAGCTTGTTTTCTATTTCAAAACTCATGGATATATGGGAAGTCTTTTTATAACAAATGCTACTTACTTTAAAAGAGTTCCCAAAGCAGTAAGACTGATTATGTACAGATGGTAGTTTTTCCTAATTCCATTGTTAGGGAACAGGAATGATTAATAATTTGGATCCTGGTGAGCTTTTCTTATCAGCTTTTGCTTAATGGATATCTGGCAAATTAGCAGTACCCTTAGTTTTTCCTGGCAAGAGAGAAATCCTCTCTCCTTTTCCTAGGTGGTATGACAAGCAGCTCTGTTATTCTTCTCATACATTTGGCAAAGAAGGGAGGAGTGGGGCTCTTGTACTGAACCCCTCTACCAGGCATTGAAGATTCCTAGGCATGAAATACATGTGGGGCAAAGAAGGACATTCCTACAACTCCTCCCCACCTGCCCTAGCTTTGTAGATACTTTGAAGCAGGGATTTAGGTCAACTGACCTCTCATTTTAAACTTTTGGTTATCATTTTCACATAACAGTGGTATTTTTCTCTGCTGTTTAGATACTGAGTTGCAAACTGCAACTGATTAACATTTTCTTAATTTTTTTATATGCAGATTTAGGAAGCCAGGAATGTATTTCCCC